CCCCTCCGAGGAATCCTCGCTGCAGATTGCTGAATTTTAGCTTAAACCACGCTGAGAGGAGGCCCAGCTGCAGACAAAGCACAACCAGCCCCCCCCTCCACTCTCCAGGTGCTGAAGCAGCCAAAAAGCTGCACAACAAAAGGCTTCTCGAGGCAGAAACACTGGGCAGTAAAAAGGCCTGTGGCTGCAGACCCCTCCCCTAACGCCTTTATCCGGGCAGTTTATCAGCTTTGGGAGGGATTTGCCCACTCCCAACCCGTGAAAGCTGAGCTGGTGGGTGGGTGTGACAAGGGCATGGCAGGAGATTCTGCAGCCCAGGAGCTCAGGACCAGGCTCAGGCCTTGCCAGGAGGGTCCTGCAGAGCTGGACTCGCTCCCTGGCTCAGCCCCCACGCCTGGATTTGACACAACTTCAGCAGCTCACGAGCCTTGGATGCTCTGAAATCAGTGCAGGGTTGTTGGTTCAGCTCTGGGGATCACAGCTCCCACCCTTGCTGAGGCAAAACTGAGCTCGTCCCTCGGCAGATCCGATTGTCCAGGCACAAACACGGAAAAGCCCCGGGAATCCTGGACCAGAAGGACTGGCTGGGACAGAGAACAGCCCCCTGCAGCTGTAAGAAAGCCCCCAGACGAGGTGTGGTTCAGATGCATCCCAGCAAGATCCCCTCCCTACACCACAGATCCTTTCCTAAAAGCCTGAAATCACAGCCCCGGGATTGACCAGGAGAGATGCTGAAGGGATATTGAGTGAAGAGAAAGAGGCCACCAGGCAAAGGACACCCCGGTGGGAATGCAAATGAAGGCAGCCCTAATACCTGTTAACCCCGGCTCGTTTCACAGATGATGGGAGCACAAAAGCAGTTTAAGACACTCCCCGTGTCTCCCTCCCGTTTATCCCCGCGTCAAATCGAGCCGTTAAAACCAGACCCAGAGGAATTTCCCCATTCAGGGAAGGCTTTGAGCTACGTTTGGCCCCTCTCATTGCAGCATTGCAGGATGAGTTCTGCCACTGTGTGAAAGCAGAGCCCACTGGGGCTACTTATACCCAAAAATTACCCTGTTTTCATCACTCAGTTGCCCACCCATCCCCACGGGGACCTGCCTTCCCACTGGGATGCCTTTGTTTGCCTCCCCCACCTCACCCTGTCTTCCCGAATTTCCAGTGCTGCCCAGTTCCCTGCACAAACTGGGGGGGGCTGCAGCAAACTCTCATCTCAGGAGAGGCCTCGTTGCCTTGGTTACCCATCACCAAGCCTGGGCCTCTGCGAGCTCTGCCCAAACCTGCCTTTTCCTTGCATTTGTCCTGTTTTTCCTACTAAAAACTCAGATTTTTTTTTTGCTCTCAGACAGCTGGACTCAGAAGAATAAATTAGATCTAAAAATTAATCAGTTAAATGCGTGAAGTACATTAAATAAATTAAATAAAGAAATAAAAACCATGAGGGGAATGCCCTCGGATGTGCATCGGTCATGAATTCTTGTACAAATCCCAGTGAGAAAGAACAAAACCAGCAGCAGAGGACACAGGGCTGTGTCAGTTTAGCCACAAAGCAGGTTTCAGAGCCAGCTAAGCTCAGCCTAAGTCCTGAGGAGCTGGAGCTGGCACCAACTCTGCTGTCAGTCGATGGCAGTGGGACACAACTGGGGCTGTGTGTGCCCTGGGCTGTCCCTGCCCCTCAGCCCAAAGGGGGCAGGGGAGGAAGGAAATCCTGCTGGAGTCGTTTTACAGAGGAGGAACAGCGGGATTTTCCAAGAGGATTGGCAGATCTGGAGCCTGCACAGGTGCCAGGCAAGGGCTGGGGGGTGTTTGGCACATGTGCTCACAGAAAAAAGGGGGCTGAACACCCACCCCCACAGCACAGACCAACATTTACACCCAGACATTCACCAGGGGCTGCTTCTGATAAACAAAAAAATCTTTGATGTGCCACTGGATCAACCTAAAGAAGAAAAGGAAGCCAAATCTAATGAAAACAGTACTTACTGTTTAACTGTCCTCCAGTTCCTAAAAATTAGCTATTTTCTCTATCCACTGTTACACACTTAAAAATAACATCTGATTTAATTTTTCAGCACTGTCTGGGAGAATTGAACCAGAGCCCACTAAAATGTTAACACATACTCAGAAAGGTCTCAGCATTCTTCTGTGGAGAGAGCAAGTTAGATTTGGTTAATCCCATTTTTGGAGAGAACACGCAACATTCTCAGCCCTGCAAACCAATGTGACTCTTAGAAAAATCATTCCCATCTATGTTTATGGTATTTCCAATTGTCACATCAAGTGAAAATTACTGAAGAATGTGAACTAAACAAGATATCAGGCAGCTCTCCTGCTCCACCTATATTGAATTGCAAAGGCCACCTCTGACTCTTTTCAGTGTTGGAGCTTAATTGGATCTTCCAGACAGAAACAATCCCCTCCTCACATGGGAGTGCCAGGAAGGAGAAAGCAAAAGGACAAGGAATTTTAATTGCACTGTAATCCTTCCAGGGAGGTTTCTTGCAAGCACCACATTGCAGGCACCCAACAGACTAGAACCAAAATCCACCAGGAACCTCTCAAAGAAAACACACTCAGACAAACGTGACCTGCAGGATCCAGAGATGGATCTCCAGGCACTTGGCCAGGCTGGGGTTTAATGTGGGGAAATAATGTAAATTAAACCATTTGTCAGACCTGGCTGAAAGGGGGAAAAGGGCTGATTTGTCAGTGGGTTTTGCCTTCATCATAATTGCTGTGTCCATCTTTCCTGCCCCTCCTCACCCCCCCTTACCCCTGGTGCAGGCTGCCAGCAGCTCTCACACAGATCTGTGGCTAAGGCAATGCTCCACTCTCCAGTTCATATATCTTGATGAGAGGCCTATAAATAGACTCCATTTCCTCCCCCTTGTCCCTGTGCTGTATCCATCACCCTCCCAGCACAATCACCTTTCAGCACTGCATCAAGTCAAGGGTTCTCCAGTGCAGAGCCCCCTGAGCCCCCCTGCACTCTGAAACACTCTGCACTGTCCTCAGGAGCTCCAGCACGTGACAGGAGTGGTCCCAATCTCCCCAAAATATTCCAGGTTGACAACAGACTGCCAACCCAACTGCTGGTAACACAGCCAAAGGCCGCCCAGGAGGACCTGAGCTCCACAGCTCCCATTCTGGTCCGTGGTGCACCAGGTAGGGCTCTGCTGTGCCCCAGAAAGGGTTGGCAGGATGTGGGATGGGGTGGATCTCTTGGGGAGTTATTTCCCTCTGGTGTCACCCATTGCCCAGACCCTGCCAGGACCTCCAACCCCAATTCAGTTTGGCAGCACCTCCTTCCAGGCCTGGACTGTGGAGGACTCGTGCCCTTTTGCTGCACCCTGGAATGGTTTGGCTTGGAAGGGACCTTTAAAGATCATCCAGAGCCACCCCCTGCCATGGGCAGGGACACCTTCCACTAGCCCAGGTTGCTCCACCCTGACCTCGGACACTTCCAGGGCTGTGGCAGCCACAGCTTCTCTGGGAATTCCATCCCAGCCCCTCACCACCCTCACAGGGAACAATTTCTTCCCAGTATCCCATCTAAATTCTCTTCAGTGTGAAGCCATTCCCCCTTGCCCTGTCACTCCAGGCTCTTCCAAACAGTCCCTCTCCATCCTTCTTTCAGCTCCTTCAGGTCCTGGAAGGCCACAATTAGGTCACCCTGAAGCTTCTCTTCTCCAGGCTGAACAATCCCAACTCTCCCAGCCTTTCCTCCCAGCAGAGCTGCTCCATCCCTCTGATCACCCTGGTGCCTCCTCTGGACTCTCCCCAACACCTGCTCCTTCCCAAACCAGCCGTGGAGAGACCTCCAAACTCTTCCCACAGCAAAGTTTACAAACCTCTCCCAGTTTTGCCCGTAGAGCTGTCCCAGCAGAAGTCCCAGTTGCTGCCCAGGCAGGGTCCTGGCAGCCCTTCTGCAGGGCACCCAGGCCTAGGTGGAGCAGTTTAGCTGTGCTGCCCTTCCAGGATGGGGCTGACCCGGGACTTCAAAGGGCTTCTGTGTCTACGTGAGGGCGTTTTGCAGCCCTGGTGAAAATCAAATTGCATGTGCTCCTTGTGCTTGTCCCTGATTGCCCCAGCTAATGAGTTTTTAGTGCACTGAACCCTACTTAATACATTGCTTAATAAAATGAGAGTAATTAATCAATTAGCCAAGAGGGCCCAGCTGATGATCGTTCTTACGCACTTATCACACCGGGCACAGTCCTGCCCCTGCCCCCCTCAGCACCACAGATCACCCCTTTCTGATGCTGTTCCAGACACAAAGAGGGACATCTCTTCTCCAGGAGAGCTGCAGGCCTGCTGGGATAACGTGGCTGCTGGCCATGCTTTGTTCTGCTGGGGGGACAAACACTTGACCTCGTGCCAGTCGTCCCTTGCCCAGCTGCTCCCAAGTGGGGACCACAGACACCCCTGTTTGGGATGGACTGTGCTGGACAGGGCAGTTACCATGGATGGTGTGGGTTGGGAGGGACCTTCAATCATTTCATTCCACCCCCTGCCATGGGCAGGGACACCTTCCACTGGACCAGGTTGCTCCAACTTTGCCTTGGACACTGCCAGGATGGGGCAGCCACAGCCTGTACTGGTGTCTCCCCACCATCCCACATCTCCACCGAGGTCAGATCTTCTTCACCCGACTCTGCTGAGCTGCCTGTGCTACCAGTTGGATATCCACACTGTCACTGCAGTTGTTTGCATTCCAGAGGTGAAGTGCAAAGCCACTGCCCGGGGGGTGACAGTCCCCACGCTCCAAACCCACCCCCTAAATCTGTCACTTCCCTCAAGCCCTAAAATTGCCATTGCTGCCAGAGCTCCAGGGGTTCTGCTGCTTCCACTTGGCTCTTTCTCCAGACTCTCCTGCTGCTCTGCTGACCTTGACAGATGCCAAGTCTCTCCTCCTCCTTTAGCCCACTGAAGCTTCCAACTTTCTCACACATTCCCTCTTTAACTCCAGCTGCCCCTCTCTCATGGCATCACAGCAGTGAAACATTTGGAAGTCATCCTGAAAGAGGAACTGCTGTAAATGGCAGCACTTTGCAATTTACGCCCCAGAACTGAGGAAAAAAGTGTCTTCCTTTATCTCAGAACTGACAAAAAGAACTGGTGCTCCAGCAGGAGTCCACCTGGCAGGAAAAAAAGGATTTCTTCCACTTTAGTGAAAAATGTTGTTTCATCCTAGTGGAGAAAAAAAAAAAAGGAGAAATCCTGAGCAGCCCTCTGAAAACACCCAAGGCCTCTACACTCCTTGTAAGGTGCTTCCAAAGCTCTCCTGAGCTCCACAGGGAACAACTCTGGGTGCATTTATTTGCCCGGGATTTTTCTGGGTGCAGAAAATACGGAGGTTTCTTTCTTTTATGAGAAGATAAAACAGCCCCTGCGTGGCCACCTGACCTTAAAATTTGCTAAAACAACCCCTGCACAACCTTAAAAGCTGGAAGGCAGGAAGGGAGTGAGCCTGGGAGAGAGTAAAGGAATAGAAGGGACTTAAATATTAGAGTTCTACTTAAAAAAACCCTCACCCTGACTTAGGCCAAGATGATCCCAGAACTCCAGAGCATTCCATTTCACTCAGCTATGCCTGGATACATCTGAATACATCAGGGTCAGGCCCTGCCAGAACAATTCATGCAGACTGTGAGTCATTGTGCTCTGCCGTGGGCAGGGCAGGCTCTCAGCTGGGGGAGTCCCTGTCAGGAGATGGGAGCTGAAACCTGGGAATTCCACCGGATTCAGAGCTGAAGAAAACCACCCTTCACCCCTGAATTAACACATGAGCACGGATAAACCCGGGAGGAGCCCAACCCCAGCCACAAGTCTGGTCAAGGAGAGAGGAGCAGAGCAGGCTGGTGCAAAGAGCCCCGCATTCCAGGCTGGGTGGATCCCGGTGACACTTTGGAAATACCGGGTCTGACAGCCCTGCAGGGCAGACAGAGGCTCCTACCAGGCTGCTTGTGATTTCTGAACCAGCAAACTCGGGTAGCTGATCCCAGAACTAACAGCTGGGAGCAGCCCAGAGCTCCCCAGCACTGCCACGAGCAGCTCCTGGGAGGATCCCGATGGGAAAGGGGGGGGGGGGGGGGGGAATAAAAACCCACTGGTGCCCATCCCACCGGGAAAAACTCTTCAGTGTTTACAGCCAGGATGTCAAAAGGGCTCAGCAATTAAGATTCCCAATTTAAGCTGTCTCCCAGGGGCCTGGACTATCAGTGTGCACCCCCAGCCAGGTGTGCATCCCATTGCATCCCACTGCATCCCATTGCATCCCATTTCCTGGCACCTGGGAACAGGGAGATGTTCCCTGGCGAGGGAACACGGATGTGAGCAGGGAAGGAAGCAGGTATTGCTTTTTTATCTTTGTTTATTTACTCACCCTCTCATTAGAAGGATGGAGCAGCTCTGCTGGGAGGGAAGGCTGAGGGAATTGGGATTGCTCAGCCTGGAGAAGGGAGGCTTCAGGGTGACCTAATTGTGGCCTTCCAAGACCTGAAGGAGCTGAAAGAAGGATGGAGAGGGACTATTTAGAAGGGTCTGGAGTGACAGAAAAGGGGGGAATGGCTTCCCACTGACAGAGAGCAGATTTAGATTGAATATTGGGAAGAAATTCCTCCCTGTGAGGGTGATGAGGGGCTGGGATGGAATTCCCAGAGAAGCTGTGGCTGCCCCTGGATCCCTGGAAGTGTCCAAGGCCAGGTTGGAGCAACCAGGGATAGTGGAAGGGGGTGGGACTGGATGATCTTTAAAGGTCCCTTCCAACCCAAACCACTCCATGATCCTACAATTTGCCAGACAGAGACCCTAAAACAGGTTGGAAGAAGCCACCTGCAGATTTCCACCTAGGATATAACAGCTTCCAATCTGTAGGAATATATCTATATTTTTTCCTATAAATTCTTGGAAAACTGCCTTTCTGATCTCGAGGGATTTTGTAGTCAGGTAGTGAAAGAACAGCCCACAGCAAGCTCAGGGCATGAATTGACACACAAGAGATGCTGCCTGAAGGAACCTGAGAAAGCACACAGAGGAAAAGCTGCTCATTTAAATCCAGGGAACTGCACGTCCCTCTTGGAACAATGCAGGTGCTTGGAGTGATGGAGGTGGGAGGATAAATCCAGGGAAGACAAGAGTGATTCCTTTGGTAAGACAAACACATGGAGGGATTGCTGCCTGGCCAAGGAAAAGCCACGGGAGGCAGAGGCACCACAGCTCCCAGAGTTTAATGGTCACCAGGAAAGGGGCTGGAGGGGACAAAACAAAGGCAGGACAAACTCAGCTGGGTTTGTCCTGGGGTTTTACAGTGGTTACCTGCACCCAGCCCTGGGAACCTGCTGGGATCTGCTCCAGCTGCCAATCCAGGGAATCCTGAATCCCCCCCTCCCTCCCACCTCCAGCCCAGCTGGCCCAGCTTTCTCCTCAGATTAACCCAAAATTATCCATCTACCAGCACTCTGCAAGAAACCCCAGCTCAGCACAGAGACAGCTGTTGGAAGCTTCATATTCAACTTCTGTCTAAACTGCCTTATAAAACTCTGTGCTATCCCACCCTGCTGTGTGCAGAGAGGAAAAAACACACACAGACAGAATAAACAGGACTAATGAGGAAAACATCAGGCTGTGCAGGCTGCTGCCTGGAAATGTTTGACAGAAGCATCTTTAGGCTAAACCCTGGTCCTTGTTTCCCTGCCTGAGCCTGATGCTACCAATGTGCAGCACACCTTCCTCTTTGCTCTTATGGCCCTTCAAAGAGAGACAGATTTTACTCATTTTATCCCCCTTCATCCTGAGCCAAATCTCCTTGGACTTACCCTCGAAGTGAAACACAAAGTAATTTGTGCATTGAGGGAAATTTTCTTTTATTTCAAAGTATCCCCTCCCCTCCTCCAGGAATAAAAAAAACCAAACCTCACCAGAACTGCAGACTTCCTTTTAAACATTTCAAATAGGAACAGTAAAATATCTTTACAGCTGTGAGAAAAGAGAGTCAATTTTACCCAAGTTGTAGGTGATTTCTTTTTAAAAAACCAATTTTTTAAAATGACAATGTGCTCTGGCCACGAGCCAGATGTCGGGTTTCCTTCTGGTGTTACACAGGACCAGCACAGGCAAAGGTCATATGACAAAAAATCAGTGCCCACTGATTTAAATTCTTTTTAAAAATCAAGCTGGGAGGAGAGAAAAGTGTGGTTTTCCAGGGAAGCTGCTGCTTTATCAGGAAGGGCTGCAGCAGCTCCTGCTTAATCAAGCTGCTGAAAGGTTAATTATCTGTCAGGATCCACGTGGGGTGGGGAGAAATCCCTGTGAGCAGCTGCCAGGGAGTGGAGGCTTCAGGAACAGAAGGCAAACGGGAGCTTGGGGCAAGGAATCCTCATCCCTCTCTTCCCAGAGCATCTCCTGCAGCCACAGCTCAGCTTTAGGCCTGGCTTGGAATAAACTGCAGTGCAGGGCACCTGCCAGTCTTAACTGCAGCCCCAGCCAGAGCATCTGGAGGCAGAGCTGGCGCAGCCTCAGAGCTCCTGGGAGCCAAATCCTGCTCTGGGCTGGGAATGGGATCACCAGGGAGGGCCCACCAACGAGCCAGGGGGTTCCAAAGACATGGCCTGGGAACAAAATCTCTTCATTGTGCCTTTTTCCTTCTTTTTTTTTTACACTTATCCCATTATTTGTTCCTAAATGCTCTGGGTAACTTCAGTTCATTTGCCTTCCTCGTGTCTCCACCAGCAGAAGGATTTCCAGCAGCTCCTCAGAAACCCTAAAGCACAGAAATCTAATCTTCCCCCCACTAATTTCCCATTAACTTGGCTCCCACTGCAGTGCTGAGAGGACACTGGGGATTTATAGGTGACTCACAGAGCAGCACCTTCAGCATCTCCTCCTCATCCTTCACACCTCTTCCCACAGATGGAAGGACACTGGGAAGCATCCACTGCTCCTCCAGGGCCCCTGAAGGAACCTGGGGTGTGACCCAGCTCTAGGACACTGTCACAGGGTCACCTCTGCCAGCACAACGATGCCACAGCCTCCAGAGAGCAGGTCCTGCAGCCAACACACAGCAAAGTTCAGCTTCCCTGCATGGACAGCTCATCCAGGCTGGCAAATCCAGGCAGAGAGGATAAAATCAAACACATGCAGCTTGTGGCAGCTTGGCCAAAAACCCCACAGAAAATCACTTCAGGAGAAGGAAAAAGCAGCTGCAGGTTGAACATCATGGAAGTTCTGAGGGAGAAGCCAGAGGTGCCAGCACAGGGCACAGGAACATTAATCAAGGAGATATTCTCCTGGAGTCAAAACACAGAGATATTCAAGTGGTGCCTTGGAGAAAAGCCTTCAGGAGGTTTGGATTATTCTGTCCAACCAATATTTTAATGGCTCTGCCCAACCCCTGGAGATCACCATCAGGTTTCTGGCTCACTGCCCCACTGCAGGGGATGAAAGCTTTCCAGGCTCACCAGTGAGGTTTTCATCAGGGAAGGCTGGGAGGGCTGGGAAGGCACTGGATTGTGCCTGGGAAGGCACTGGATTGTGCCTGGGGAGGGCTGGGAAGGCACTGGATTGTTCCTGGGGAGGGCTGGGAAGACACTGGGTTGTGCCTGGGGAGGGCTGAGAAGACACTGGATTGTGCCTTTCCCATTTCCTTGCTGATAAAACCAGGGGGGAACAGGTTGTGTAACAGGCTCTGTGTGTCCCAACATCAGCATCACTCATCTCACCTGGAATCACCCACAGGGTGTCCACAGGCTCCAGAATTCCAGAATTCTACCCAGCAGAATCTGACACAGTCCCAGTGTGGTTCACACTAATAAATAATATCTAACAGACACTAATAACAATCCCCCCAGACCTGACCACAGACCCACTGCTCTCCAGTGAGGCCCCACGTTATCAATTCACAGATTTTCAGATCCTGACCCTCCTGGTTTATCCAGTTCACACAGGATTTCCACTGCCTGATCCCACTGGACAAACACAGGGTTGTGCTGCATATGAATTATTCAAATGACATTTAGTGTATCAAAAACAAGAGATTAAAAGTACTGCCACTGACTCAGCATGCTGACACATCCAGCTCAGTAATTTAAGATTAAAGACCATCAGCTCGTTATTTCCCCGAGATTTGGCCCCCAAAACCAGCCCATCCCAAATCCTGGAGCTCCACACAAATTTGAATCTCAGAAGAATATCCTTCCCTAGGAATATCAATTCAGTAATTGCTTCCTGGGTCATTAAATGGCTCTTATAAACTACGACAGACACAGCATTTAATCCAAACCTAATCAAAGCAGCACAGGTCAGAGAGCACCATCAGCTGACACTCAAATTATCTCCACTGGCTGAGAAGCTGGAAAAAATACCTTTGGCAGTTGAGATCATCAAGCAAAAGTATCATAGAAACCCTTTGCTTTGAACTGACATCTTAACACCTTCTGTGCCTGGTTAATATTTCCATTTTACAGATGAGCCCTGAGTCACAAAGACTTTCCTACAGCAACTATTAACTCAGTGGCACAAAGGCAGCTGCTGCTTTAAGTGCTCATCCTGGAAAACAAACCCACAATTCCTATTTCTAGCCCAATTTAAAAATAAAATCCTTAAACACTTGGAGAACAAATTCCAAGTAAACCACATATATTTAAAAAACAAACAAACAAACAAACAAAAAGGTCAAATCCAGCAGAAGGGGTTAGACAGTAAAATGAACTGGTAAGAAAAGGGTGCAAAGGGTGAAGTTGTCCAGCCTGTGTGGCTTGGCTTGCAGTGGGAATGTCAATTATATATGCAAATTAGATGCTCAACTAGGTGTGCACAGCAAGAACAACATACAAGTGCTCTGGGGCTAAAAAGATGTTTGTAGCATCCAGTGTCACCAAACCCCAGTCAGAGGGTTCCAAAGACACGGCCTGGGAACAAAATCTCTTCATTGTGCCTTTTTTCCTCCTTTTTTTTACACTTATCCCGTTATTTATTCCTAAATGCTCCAGGTAATTTCAGTGCATTTGCCTTCCTCGTGTCTCCACCAGCAGAAGGATTTCCAGCAGCTCCTTAGAAACCCTGAAGCACTGAAATCTAATCCTCCCCCCACTGATTTCCCATTAACTTGGCTCCCACTGCAGCGCTGAGAGGACACTGGGGATTTATGGGAGGAAGTGGAACAGCACCTTCAGCATCTCTTTTTCTCTCTCCCTCAAACACGTTTGTGCCGGGAAATAAAAGGCTCCCACCACAGCCTCGTGTGGAGCTGCCAGGGTGACATCACACATGGTACCACCGCAGCTGCAGCCAATTGGGGAGGGCTCTGACGCTCCCCCAGAGCAGGGAAGCCTATAGGAAAATGCTCCAGATGGGAAAGGACCCCCTCTTTTGTCGCTGCTTGTCTTGCCACTCCTCCTCCGTCCCCCTTCCCACCGTCCACACACACACCCAGCACAGCCCGGGCACAACAACCTGCCCAGCCCC